AAAAACCAGGAGACACCAGGGCACACGTGAGGTAAGCACAGCTAAGGAAAAATCCATGAATATTTGGAACAGTATGAGTGCAAATGTTTGCAAACTGCGATCATGCCCATAGAGGGTATCTGAGGAGGGATTAACCATACCTTTCATGCCTTTCAGGAGGGACTGGGGAAGAGGCACGGAGTCAGCTGTTCTCTCTGAAGAAGTGCCAGCCTTGCAGCAACCACTGCAACTTCAGGCAGATGGGTGTCCAGGTATGAAATCATCAGCACAGGTGGATATGCCAGATCCTGATAAATGTGAAAGGGATACCTCAGAGGAGACTTGTAAGACCACGTGACAGCGCCAGGCATGTTGGAAATTATCTGACATGATGTGTGAGGCTAGTGAGAGCTCTGCAATCAAGATTTGATCTCCACCAGTGTGTCAGAAGCCAGGTGAAGGTAAACTGGCAACACAAGAAAAGGACAGAATGGTTTGAGTTGGAAGGGACCTTAAAGATCAACGAGTTCCAACCCCCCTGCCATGGGCAGGGACACCTTCCACTAGACCAGGTTGCTCACAGCCCCATCCAGTCTGGTCTTGAATACTTCCAGGGATTAGGAGTCCACAACTTCTCTGGGCAACTGTGCCAGGGCCTCACCACCCTCAGAGTAAAGAATTTCTTATTAATATCTATTCTACCCCCACCCTCCTTCAAGTTTAAAGCTTTTCCCCCTTATTCTATCGCTACATGCCCTTGTGAAAAGTTCCTTTCAGGAGTTTTGACTTACAGAATAAACTGACGTCAAAGATCTCCAGAGCAACACCAACCCACACTGTACCATGGGCATTACTGGCATTAAAATCAGTCTTGGTGCCTGGGAATGAACACACAGAGCTTTTCTCCACTGCCCACTAATTAGATCCATTAGGGCTGAGCTCAATCAGTGGGATACATGGATTATTCTTCAACCCAGCATTGTGAATAACTCCTATAAATCAGCAGGTCACTACCAATAGCGTAAGTGGAGCTGTTTCATCCATTTCTTGAGATCTGGCAATGCTTGGGTTTATTTCTCTTGCAAGGAACAAGAAGAGCTGCAGTGAGGGTTGGGATAAAATCAAAACTATGATCTGATCAGTGCAGCAGTGATGTGACACCAACTGGAATATTAACATGGAAATAAACAGCTTGTTTAGGAATGGCAAGGAGAGGATGATGTTTCTTCTGTCAGTGATGAGTAAAACATGCTGAAGACTCAAAGATTGAGGAGAAAGATTCCTTGGACCAGTGCAGTCAGTGATCAAAGGGAGAGGAAAAAAGGTAAATGCTGTTCTGGTAGGATCACTGAAGGAGGAAGATCACGTGGAGGAGGCTTTTTGTGACCAGCTAATGAAGGCACCTCAAGAATCATCAGAGTTTTGTTGGTAACCACAGCCATTTTGGGATGGGAGAACAGAAGGCTATCACACAAGCTCATGGAAAGGTTTTTATGCAAAGGGAAGGAAACACAGCCCAGGAAGAGCCACTCCATATTTTAACTGCATGCAAGAGGCCACAAACAATTCGGAGAACAGACTTCAAAATGATCTTTGACAGGCTGGAAATGAGATGAGAAAGTAAAATAGGAAGTTGGCTGATAAGGACAAATACAAAATTTTACAGCCAGACTCCAAAATTTCTTGAGTGGCCACTATCTGGACAGTAATTGTGTGGAGTGGAAGGTATGACTGTAGTGCCAGGCCAAGCTCAATGAGAGTCAACAGGGCCCTGCTGTTGTGCAAAAAGCAAACATCGTGCAGGGTTATGCAAACAGGAAGACAGCCTGCAGGACACACGGCACCCTTGGCAGCAGCAAGCTTTGTGGAGGTACCTTGTCTCCCATCTGGAATGCTGCATTTCAAAAAAGACATGGCCCATGCAGGACGTGGCCTGAGGAGCACAAAGTGTAGACAGAAACATGGCCCAGGAGTAGAGACTGAAGGAAGTGAAGTTGTTCAGAGAAAAAAGAAACAGCGACAGTCAGAAACCTTGCTCAAATCGCCTACCAGTACTACAAGGATGACATAATCTGCTGCTCACTCTGCACTACTCCCTTGGCTAAAGATGTTTTTTCTGTAAAGTGTTACAGCTGCCACCACACGTGTGTTTGAGAACCCCCAGAGTTGTCCCAAAGACCGAAGGCTTCCCTCCTTGGAGGCTGAGCAAGGAGGGCAATTAAATGTCTCTTTGTTGTGGTCAGCATGGTCACATGAAAGGGTAAAAAAATAATGAGCCAAACCCCTGCAGAATGGAAAGAATGGCCCAGACATTAGTGAGTGTTACTTGGGCAGATTTTTGCCTGTCTTTGGAATTTCCCTTGCCCATCCCCAGTCCAGCAGTACAACAATTAATGTTTCACTCAATCCCCCAGGCAGGAAGGCTGGCAGCTCACTCTCCACTTGTGCTTTGCCCAGAAATCAGTTCTCCATGTCCTGCCTCAGAGTCCCTTTATCAAATCTCTCCCTCATGTGGCTCCAGGACTTCTTTTCCTCCACCACAAGAGGAAGAATCCTCCTTGTTCACTAGAGAGCAAAGAAGAAGGAATGATGGAAGTTGCAGGACCGCTTTGACTCATGAAGTTGTCTCCCATCTTTCTCTCAGACATGAGCACTATTAGCTCTGAAGGAAAATGGGTGGGTAAAGGGAGAAGTGGTGGTTCCCCTTGGCTCTTCCCACAGCTCCCAGGCCCAGGAGGCAGGTTGGTGCACAGGCTGCAGTGGGAGCAGTTCCCTCCCTCTGCCTGGCCAGAATCCCAGACGGCTCCAGGAAGTGAGAAGGATCTGAAACACAATCCAGTATTCAGCTGCACAGGTAGCAAGACTTGAAATCAAGCCAGGTGCTGTGCAAAAGCACAGCAGGCCTAAGCCTGGCAGACTAAAAGCTTTTCCACAAAAAACAAGGAGGCAGGGACACCAGCTCCAGTGCTCCCTGCTGCCTCTCTCCCCACTTTGTCTCGTGGCTCACTGAAACCAGAGCAGAAACTCCTCTTTTTCCCTCCAGACCCACCTACACGTGCAGTCTCGGAAACAGAGAGCTGGAAGTGGCCTGCGGTGTCCTGAGCTCACAGGGCTCAGGAAAACAGTGCTCTGCAGGCCTTTGTCAGGAACGCAGGGGTTTGTCCCAAAGGAACACCTGGATCAGAGTAATCTTCTCTGCCTCGTGGGAGCAGCTTGCAGAGCTCTGAAGGCTGTTAAGGTGGTTGAGTCAAAGGGGCAGCCACACGCACGAGCTGCTGCAGGGCTCCAGCTCACCCGTGGAGCTGCTGCCTCCCACCACTCCCCCCACCATCCCACCACTTCATCAGCTGTCCTGTCAAAACAATCTAGTTCAAAAGCAAACACCAAAACTGAAATTATGCAAAAGTACTGAACTGGATGTTTATCAGAGCACTGAGGAGTCGGCACTTGCCTTTGAACAGTCAGAGAGATAAGCACACCCTTCCCCCCATCCCGCTTTTCAAGTGCTGAAAGGAAGCCGCTGGCTACCGGAGCTGGTCTGCTGGCAGCAGGGCTGGTTTGTTGGCTTCTACCATTCCAGCTGATTCCACACATCCAATTTACAGCTGAAACTTGAGATCGATTGAATTAACACCATTTCCGGCAGTAACTATCAGCAGGAAAACAGGGGCCTCCTAAAGCAGCTGTGCTGCTGCAGTACCAGGGGACTGTGGGGTGGGACAGCGCTGTCCTCCCACCAGTGGCTCTTCGTTGTTGAAAGTTTTAGTTTTATAAGAAATAAAACATGACAGGGGATTAGAGGTTTATAATTGATGAGCATATCGCTGCCGAGGAAGGACTGTGTAGTTGAGGAGATGTGCTCTGTTCTCCATACGTGTCAATGGAAGAAAATGAAAACTGCAAAAAAAAGAAAAATTTTTGGAGACACCCTCACCACTGTGATGCTGCAACACGGGCTGCCCAGAGAGGCTATGGACCTCCCATCCCTGGAAGTGTTCAAGGCCAGGCTGGAAGGGGCTCTGGGCAACCTTGTCTAGTGCAAGGTGTCCCTGTCCATGGCAGGAGGGTGGAACTCACTCACCTTTAACCTCCCTTCCAACACAAACCATTCTGTGATTCGTAAGAAAGCAACGCTGGCCAAATGGATTAATTCAGAAATACTCGTGTATCAGTTCAACATGAATTTGATTTAATCTACAGGCATCTGGACGCAAGTTTGATATTTTAAATTGCAATTAATTCGCCCCAAGGGTAAAACTGTTCTCTCCAGTAACACAGCTCAGCTCCAGCCTTGCAATAAGTGGCAAACAAATATTCTCTTCTGTCGCAGCCTTACCAGCTGAAATGAAACATTAACTCAGTTCTGTTTTTCAGCTGGAACTTTTCCTGAACAGGACTGTTTTTTAGGGACAGATGCAGTTAGAAAGAAGCAGTTAGAAAGATTTACCCACAGCCACCCCACAACTGCTATGAAAGCAGTTTCACTTCTAATGTATTAAAGACAGCAGATGCCGTGTAAGGTGCTGTTGTACAACAGCAGCACTGGACACAGTCGTTAACACTCCAAGTTTTGCAGCTTAAGCAATGCAACACCAGGAGGAATCATCTTTAAAAGCCATGATCCCTTTTCCATTACTCATTTCTTCAATTAAACATTCTGCTTCTGTCAAAAATAAACCTTCTTCTGCCAAAAGTAAGCCCTCTTGTCTTCTATGGACCACCACAATGGAAACTTGCAGGATGTCTCAGCCAAAACCCTTTTCAATTAAAAGAACCCAAACCAAAACACCCCAACTCCTAACCCCAAGCTGCACTCTTTGGAATTCAATTTTATCAACTAAATATGGAGGGGTTGGGGTTATTTTAGTTGAAGACATGCTTTATCAGCTGTAAAGAACAGAAGACAAAGAATTGCTCAAAAAATAGCTCAAGAGTGAAGAATTGGAAAAGTAATCTATGTCCTCATCAGTCATTTAGAGAGCAGCATCCCATCTAAAGGAAAGGGATAATTTTTGTCAGACTCTTATAAAAAAAAGGCTTTATTTTGAACAAGTTTTCTCCATTTGGTTTTACAGTCTCAACATACATCATATTCATGGACAAGCAGCATTTTCACAGAATAAGAGCCAAATACAAAGAAGAGGAAGCCACTTGGGATGAACAGTTTCAACCTAATTGACTCAGACTTCAGAAAATCCTGTATGCTGTCCCTTATTTGAGGTAAAGGAATTCCATAAATTAAGATTCACTGTTCAACAGAAGAGTCAACAATGAAATATTTGGAAAGTAGGTACCTTGGGGAGGAGGGGAAAAAAATAAATCTTAAAAGACATTGTGAGCAACAAGAGAAGGGGGAGGTAGAACTTCCACTTGTGGGACTATCACATATAAATGTTTAACCAAATTGGAGCAGTTTAAATTTCAAATTTGATGAACTTTGCTGGTAGTACAGTCTTAAAATGTGAACCTAACAAGATATGTCATGAGCTTAGTTTATATGCTGAATGCTGTCACCAGGCACCCATTAGAATATCCAGTAAAATCCACAGCTTTCAGTGCCCATCCTGATGTATTCCAGTTACATTGTTAATTTTTGGGCAGCCATGCAATCAGACCATACAATTACACATTTGGTGGAATTCAAGAGTGCTTTCTTAAGTAAAATTGCATTGGGGAAGAGAGAGAAATCAAACTTCCACTATCTGTTCATGCAAAAATATACCTGCAGACTAAAAGGATTTAGATAAACAGATTAAAGCCATTACAGGAACACATCTGTATTGTTTTAAACTAACTTGTTTATAGGGCAAATCAGTTTGTGTCATTACTCTGTGTAGAAATTATCTTAAACCTTTTAAACGGCATCCACGTTGTATTAGACACTGTTTGAAGAAAAACAAAACAAAGACTATCCTCACCTTTTGGAGTTTAAGATTTAAATTAGCTCACTAATAATGCTGAATCTCACGCCAATAAAAAAAAAAAATGGAACAGGATTAATATCCTGTAAACTGCAAGAACTAAATTATCAATGTGAAATTCCTAATGCCTAGGAGAAATATGTTTTCAGTTCAGCCATTTAATGCCAGGCACTGTTCAATTTCTTACAGTAAAAAGAAAGCATTATTTCCTTTACAGGCTTAACAAAACGTCACGTGGAGATGTCAAGCTTCAACTGCTTGAGTGGTATTTCTCCAAAAAGGGTCCTGGCAAACTTAAGTTCCACAGTGTCATTGGCCAAACCATCCAGTGGAAACAAAATAAATTCAAACTGAACCTGTGCAAGAATTGAGTTGTAAGAAGCAAAGCAGATTCATTTAGAAAAGCTTGTTTATCAATGTTATTTTGTTTTCCAAGTTCCAGTGAGCAAAATGGTTTTATACTTAGATTAACAAACTAGCTTTTCTTTTCCTCTATGTGATGAATCTATATCTCTTCTATTTCCTTTTTTTTTTTTATTTAATAATCATCAAGTTGCAGATTCATCATTGAGCAAGTTATCTGGCTCAGAACTAATAAAGCTCTAATAAATTCTTTCCCCCACTGGAAAACTGTATCATATCACACAGCTCTGTGCACACAAAGTTATATCTTGCAGAAATATGATCGCTGACCAGAACTTCCTGCTATGTTACACTGTGAATAACAGCAGACATGAATGAGGTGAAACTGCAGCTCAGCCATTGTACAAACTGTCTCTCAAGATGTCCCAACACTTCCACTGGAGCTTTAATGCTCTGAGACACAACCTGTGATGTTCAGTGATTGTGCAATTCAAGCTCAGAAATAAAATTCGAATTTGTGAAGAAACTGACATCTGTCCATTAGCTTTTATCACACTCCAGACTATCAGAAAGCAAGGAAAGGTGGAAGAAAAGATTTATTTTCCACTTTATTTCCCACTTAGTTTCCTATGACCTTGAACACTAACAAAATGCTTTTCAATAAATGACAGGTAAGAGAGCATAGATTAGGAAAAAAAAATAAATCAATCAGTTAAGAAATTCGATCCTTGTATTTAGGACCTTGCATTTCCCTCAATAGCACTTCTGTATCATGTTGCATGGAGCAGAATTTTGGTGGTTTTTTTTTTTCACTAAACTCTCACCTGCCTATTATGAATCACTGCAATAAAAATATTACTTTTTTTTTCCTCCACACTACGCTAGGCAACTTTCCAGCCAAAGACAAGGAATTTAGTCAAGAATTGTAAAAACCTGAACTATGAACTCTGGCACAGCTGGGAGTAGCCACTCAGCTACTCCAGAGTGCTTAGAAAATAGGCTTTAGATTTTACACCAAGAAATTGGATTTATTTTAAATGCCACAGTCACATTGATAGACAGAGCACAGACTTTTGGTAACAAACAAACATACATTTTTTGTAACTAAGCGTTTCTACTCGGTAAATAAATGCGTTTCGCACAGCCTTCCTCTTAAATGTGCCTAAACTAACCTAAATAAGCAGACAGCATAGCAGAAAAGGGAAACTTTGTGAGTAACTGTTTCTTAAGCAGTATATTATTTTTACTATGTATATAATATATTTTATATTATATACACGTACATTTTCATCAACAGTTCAAATTATACCCGAATAATCAAAAAAAAAAAAAAAAAAATCCAAACCAAAACCAGCGCTCCTCCAACACATTTACCACCTTTTCCTCAGGCAGAGTTAATCCAGGTATTTGTCAAGATAGAGGAATGACAGTTAAAAAGACTCCCCCCAACAAGAAACAAGTTACACAAAGAATACTGTATCACTACAAATTTTTTTATTCAGAAGCCCCATCTTTTAAAAAAAACGTCATTATGAACTTTGTTTGGTCAAACTACAACACTTTCTAGCAGACATACGGTAAAAATGGCATGGCTCAGAATCGACCGGATCTCTCACGATCTCTTGACCGCCTCCTGTCGCGCTCCCGGCCTCCTCCGCCGCCGCCGCCGCCGCCACGGCCGCGATCTCTGGATCTAGACCGGCGCTCACGGGACCTCGACCTGGATCGATGCCTAGAGAGAAGAAGTCGGAACATTTCACTGTCTCTCATCTGTTGCCGTGGGATTTAGGTGCTGAAAAAAAAACCTCCCGGAGCAGTTAATTAGGGGTGAGGTAAGAAAGGGTTTATTTGCCGAGGCAGAAGATGTTACGAGACATCTTGTAACCCTGTGCCCGAGAGGTTACATTTTATAATACCATCCATCCAATCCCAGATGTGTCCACCCTGTGGCCTTTCCTCTGGACCGCCCCGGGGTCCACCCCCTTAAAATGGGTCTGGGGTGCATTTTGGGACCACCTACTTCATCACCTTCATCATCATCAGAGCACAAAGGGTACATAGTTACCTAATTCTTGACCATGTTCTGTGGTTTAGGCCCTGATATGCTGTTCTGTCAACTGTCTAGGCCTTGCCTTGACAAAAGACTAAACATTTCTACTGGATTCAGGAGTAGGGCTGATATAGGGAGCATAGAATGGGGTAAGAGGGTTAAGGAATGTGTAAACAAGGGTGCTACAGGGAAAGGGACAAAGAAGGGAAGGGTTTCTGCTTTTAAAATCTACTTCCACTACTTATAAAACTTACAAGTCTTACAAATATTAGAAAAATACAAAAAACCCTTAGGGGCTTAAGGCATCACATCCCAGCCAGCAGTTTATGTGTGGTGCCACACTTAATTAAGGATGTGAGCAATGAGGGAGAAGAAAGGCAGCGTGTCATTGGAAGGGTTGGTTAATTGGCACTCGGGATGTGAAACCACGTGTTTACAAACTGCACAAACTTAGAATAACCAGGGAGTCAACACACACTGGAACAAGAATGGACTGTTCCCTGCAGTCACCTGTTACAGTGGATCTGCAAACCTTAAGGAAAGGCAGGGAGAGGAACCAAAGGCACTGTTACACAGCTGTTCATTAAAGAAGCAGGAGAAAGGGACACCTGCTTTGGCAGACAGGAACAGCTCTCAATGCCAAAAAGCCTAAAGCTGCTTCTAAGTCCACTCACATTAAATCAATTGCATTAATCAGCAAGTACAACTCAGTTCTCTGTGGTTGTTCCCCCCTCTTTTTTTATCTACATCATGCCCTCCCCCCCAAGCCATCAGCACTGACAAATCACCTTCCCTGCCTCTGAGGCAGATGAAAAATTCAGGAGCAAAGCTAAACCCATCCATTCCATCCTGCTAACAGAGCTACTGTGAATTTATAGTGTATATGGCACTTGTCAATGGTTTTAAGCATTTCAGAAACGTGATCTGCATAAAACAAGTTAACGGTGCAGTTCTAAATACATGTAGAAATTACAGCAGAACTGAAAAAACCTCAAGGAAACAAATGCTAAAAGTCTTCAGTTTGCAGAATATTGTTTCACAGTGAGATGTTTTGGGGTGGGATTATGTGTGGTGACAAGTTTTAGTATGACAAAGACATATACTTGACTCTTGCACACCACTCAGCTGGCCCAAATTACCAAATTCGCCTTTTATTCAAAAGTTCTGGTTTACCCTTCTTTTTCCTACTCAAAAACCTTCTGACACACTTCACTCTGTGCAGAACTACTTTCAGGACAGTCTAGTTTACACAACCTACCTGTGAAACCCCACTGACACAAGAACTGGTGTCTTTTATACCAAGCCTTACTGCTAACCTGTGACAGCTGCACAAAGACTTCAAATAGGCCCAGTAAAGATAAAACTGGATAGAGGATTCAGTATTTTATTTGTTTTAGCACATACTGAAATTGGACTATGGATAAAACAATCATATTCCAAAGCCCAACACACAATTTTCTTGCAAAAAAAGGTGGTATCTTTTAATCAGCATTATTAAGTCTGAGAGATCTGGATTTGTAACAGTGAGGCAAATACAAAAAGCATATTTTGTCTTTTTCATTAATAATTCAAACATCTTAAAAACTTACATTTAAGTTGTTATTAATTGGGACGATTTAGGAAAAGTATTTAGGTACAAATACATGTGGGCTAAGCAACACAATCCACGTTTTTGAAAGTTAAATTCATCCTCACAAATTCTGAGACAGTGCCAATTAGAGACATTTATAAGGAAAAACAAATCCACAATCCCAGGTTCCTTCTGTCATTGAAAGGAACCTACAAAACTGTGCTCTATATAAAAGCAAGATCAACAATTTTCCATGCCTAAACTAAATAGCAAGGTCCTAAATGCAAGCAGATTGAATCCAGCTCTAAGTGAACCATCACAGTAACAGCAAGAGGTACAAGCCTTTCTACAAGGTACCTCACTAAATGAATAATTTAATATATAACAGAATGTGTTTCTCACATTTTTTTTACCATTATACAAAATTACTATTCTTTTTTCCTACTGAGAATTCCTATCAAGAAGGGTCACACTGTGAGGCTGGTATTAATAAACAGTGAGCTCAGTGCAGTGACTGCCTGCTACTAACAGTAAGAAATGAATACAGGCTACAAAAATTAGCCATTAACAGTTAAAAGCAAACAAGGTTGGGTCCTGAGTATAATCTATAGATATGCCTGACTGCACAAAATGCTGAAAGAGGCCAATCTGATGCTGCCAAAATGCCCATTAGCAAAGCAGCCTGTGTCTGACAGAGGCCATGAGCAAACACATCTAGAAGAGAATAAAACGTAGGAGGCATAAAGTAATTTCTCCCAAATAATGTCCTTCTGCACAGTTTGCAGATCTGAGCCACAGACAGGACCTATATATTCAGTAAACTCAGTGAATTCTCCTCTCCTTTAACCCTGCCTTCTCCTAAAGCCACACCAACCCTGAGCACCCACAGCACTGCAGAGCAAGAAGCACCATAACTTTTTATTTAGAGACCTTCACCTTTGTTCTAAACCACTTGCCAGCTTTACTTGATGCCCTTCCACTGGCATGTACCAGAAGTGCATTAGAAAAAACAAGAACATTAAGTTTAAAGACCTGCCTTCAGATTTTTCAGCAACTGATCATTAATTTACTAATTTTAATGGTGTTTAAAAAGAAACTCACTTTTTACGACGACGCCCGTACAACTCACGCCTTAACTCTCGAGAGATGGGCTTCAAATGCATGAAGTTGCAGAAACCTCCTCGTGTACACTCTCTGAAACAGAATTCAAGAGGCACAGTTAGAATTCCCAGCTCTACACTCCCTGTTTGGACTTTTAGACACCCAAAAGTTAATCACCTCTAACATTACAACCACGGTTTACTGACAGTGACTCACTCCTAGGTCAAAACCCCAAAAACATGGCAAAAGTCACGCATTTCACCACAGGTCCTCCACATCACAGTTACCTGAAGTGGTTTTTCTTCCTACACTCAGCTACACATAAAACCCACACCCAAGCAACCTCCCTGCCTGTGCAAACATTTCTCAGCCACTGCCAAGGCCAGAGGAAGTTAGTGTTTTACCCCATTTCATATTGACGGCAACAGGCCTCTCTGAAGTCAGTCACAGGCGAGAGCTCGGCATGGATGGGCTGCCCATTGAACCAGCGATTGTTCAGGTCAATCACAGCCTTTTCTGCATCTTCTTCACGGCGAAACTAAAAGCAAAAGTAACATTTTCTCACTCTATAGAGAAATAACAGAAGCAGACTGAAGATTCCCATCCAATCAGTTGTGCTCAGGATCAGTCATGGAACTAGAAGCTATTTCAGAGTTCCTGGGACAGTCCATCAAATCAAGGGTAAATATGTCAGCTCTTTATTAACTGGGACTCAGAGCTAATCAAAAGCATTGATTTTCCTCTTAATTATGTTCTCTTTGGTCTTTCAAGTGAAAAAGTCAATAAAAGCTACTGTGCTTTCTTAGTACAGCTTTAAACCAAGAGAATGCTTAGATGTACTTTCCGGAACACCAACACTCCTGATGTAATGGATTTCTTCAAACATTTAAGAGAGATCTGTAGGAGAACTGGAGCTCTCATTCGTTTAAATCAGAACTTACAAAAATCTGATCCAAAACAGGACCAGATTTATGATGAATGTAAAACATTTGAAACACCTTTTCACAGCTAACCACTTCCAAATCTTTAAAAGCAACTTTTGGTTCTGATTATGACCAACACAGGTCTGAAAATACTTTCCAGTTAAGGGAATGCACAGTCCAAATATTCAAACAAACTCTGTCACACCTCCCCAACACTGTGCACACACAATAAAATTCCTCCAGGTGACAATTTTGTACTGGTTATTCAAGAGATACCAATGACTTTTAAAAGCTAAACCCGAGTGCTCCAGTTTGCACCTTAAACCATGCAGCTAGTGCCAAATATTACAGGATTACAGGATGCTGTGTTCAACTGGAAGTTAATAAATAAATGCACCTGTTGCAAATAAACCTCTTTCATAATGAAGTGCTTAAAGGGCAGCATGATGGTAAGACAGATCCCAAATTAATCCTGTCAAACTAAATAGTCCACCAGCACAGTGTTGATAACTGTGCTAAAAAAACAAGCGTTAATCTTTCTGAAATTACAGATTTTGACTATCAGGAAACTTTCTCGTAATTTATTAAAATTTCTTTCAGATTCCTTTCACATTTTCACTCTACTTTAAATCGCGGCGTTGGAGAGCTTCTAAAATCTAAAGCACACAGTAGCTTTTAAAATTACAAATGAACAAACCCCACCCCTAGGAATCACATAAAGATGCCTCTTTATCCTACCTTTACGTATACATTTCCAACTAGATGATCTCCAAGGTTATCACACACGTTCATCTCCTCAACTTCACCGTATTTCTCCTCCATTTCTGTGAAGACCTCCTAAGCACAGAGAAACCCATTACAGGTTTGCAGCACATTAGTTCTAAGTACAGAAATGCTGTATTTAGCTGTAAGTATGGAAGACAACTTTCCCTAGGGAAAAAAGTGAAATCACTGTGTTTTTTTACGTTTCTGATTTCAAAGTTAGTACTTGCTTGGCCTGTACCGTGTCCATCTGTAGGTACAGCATTAACAAGATACAATAAAAGCCTATGGAAAACATTATGCAAACAGTATTTACACAACACAGACGATGCACTGAAAACACAACACATAAACCTTGATGCTATAGTTTCACTTTCTTTCTGTAAAAATAATTAAGTATATTTTGAATCCATAAAAAGGAAGCAGATTACAGAATCGAAATGCTACATCGCTTAAGCTGCTGATTTTGATTAAATTCTACTTCAAACAGCAAAGCTAAAGCCAAACCAACCAAAGGTTATACCAGGAAATATTTAGCACTGCTAAATAAATAAAGCTGTCAGTTTTATATGGACACCTGAGGAAATAAGTGCTTTTCTCTGAATCCACCTCCCTGTGCTACGCACTGCACCCATTTCACTTGTCTGCAGTGACAGGTCCACTGACACTTTAATGTATTTTTTACATACCTCAAAGAATTCATCATAATGTTCCTGCATCTCAACATCGCTCACAGCACCTGCAAAAGTCAAAGAGTCACAGTGATTAGAGCCTGCCAATAAGGAAGGAGAGATTTTGATCATACTACAAAACAATCTAGAGAGGCCGTCTGGAGCATGAGACACCATACAGCATGGAGCTAACTAACAGGAATATTAAAAAATAAGGATGTGTGAAGAGCTTTGAGTCCCCAAAGTATCTGTCAAAACATTACATTGATATGATCAAATCAAAGCAAGTTTTAATCAGAGCCAAGCTTGTATGCCACAAATTCAAAGGAAGGGGAAAGGAATTCCTTTGAAGTATCACTTTAAATTTAATGTGCAGTCCCACTCTCTATCTGCTAACAATTTTACCTAAACAGAAGGCAAGTGCTTTGTTACATGTCCATATTTTAAGTATTATTACAGTTTAGTGTTCCTCTTCCTAAAGGCAGAATTTTATGTCCACCTCTCCAGCATAACCACTAGAATTTGAGTTCACAGTGTAACATAGCCCAGAATTATTTTTTTTAAATTTGCTCAAAATAGTTGTTGAAATGACACACTTTTCTCAGTGCCCTCGAAGCAGGGTACCATAATGCTTTGCAAGAGAGAACAATTTTCTATTTTAATTTTGAATATAATTTAAGTTTTTCTGTAGTCCTGCAGAACACCTTTTAGTGCAAGACAAGCCAGCCACGTATTCAGGTTAGATTATTTTCATGCTCCAAGCTGGACTTTAAAAATGAGAGCTGCTTGCCTGCTGCTACAAAAACCAATGTTAAGTTTGGCTTATTTTTCAAAGCATTAAAAGTATAAAAATGTATTTCCTTTATTTCCTCCAGTCTACAGCAGTTTAAACAAGCTGTATACATTAAAGTCTAAAGTATTAGCTCTTCAGCAGTTAAGTGGCTTATTAAGATCAAGTGGAGCAGTTTTAAAACAAACCCCACATTTTATGCTAGAAAAATATGCTGGTGTTTAAATTAGAAACATTGCTGCTTTAGTTCACAGAACGTGAAAGACAAAAATCTGAGCCAATAAAGGAAAGTTTATTCACTTTCAGGCTGCTAAGAAAAAAATAGATGCTTTGGGCTCAGTCATTTTTGGCTATTATTACCACTTGGACACAGTTTATATTTTTCTTCAAAGGCTCTAATATTAACCAGCCACATTCTCTGGAACTGCAGGTCCTGTTCTTCCACCCAGCTCACCTCCAGAAGAGGCTAAGGAGCATTTGGTTTATACTTTAGGCTAACAATATCTCTGCATTTGAAAAGTTATTTGCTTTGAAGAAATTTCTCCTTCCCCATGGTTATATTGCAAATTAAGGAATATCAAACATTAAACCAGTATTTCTAGGCAGTTTAATACTTATCTATATTCTCAAGGTTCTGCCAACACCACTGATAACAGCTTACTAATACCTAAGGATTTTTTTGTTGTTGTTTTTAAAGGTATCAGACAGGGGCTCTGTGAGCCACATTGGGAATAATGACTTGTTACCAGATGGCCAAGTGCCAAAAACTTTTAAGGAGATTCCATTGTCAAATTAGGAGATCATAAGCAACAGTTAATTAATGACTATTCAATGTCCTTCTAAAGTGGGAAGCATACATATGCACAGGCTTTACAAACATCCATATTATTCCAGGGCTACTGGTATCTGAACCTTGAGAAGCCCCAGTTACTAATTAAAATACTCAGGAAAACTACTGCTGTTCAAAACTAAGGTTAATCCTCTACGACGGCAATAGAAAGGAAGACAGTTAAGCAACAACGACAAAGCATTAAATAGCTACCCAAGTTATCCATTGAAAATACATGCAGTACTTAAATAGGGACAAATACCAAAGGAACAAGGAGCCAGGAGTTCCAGCAAACCTACTGCTTGCAGAGCTCCAGCTCTACCCCAGGAGGTGTAGTGAGGCTCTGGTACACAGCTACTCGCTTGTCACCACAAACTAGAGTTGGATACCAGCATTTGCAACACTGGAGAATCTGTTCAAGACTCTTGCAGCTGTAAATCTAAACAGCTCCACAGACCAAACTGCTGTCACTCTGTGCAAATTAGTTACCAGCGCATTGAGAGTTTAGGGAGAGAGTGGAAACACCCAACTGGAAATTTTGTGGTCTACTGAAACAGCGTTAACTACTAAGCATCTGCAACAAGAAAGCCTACAAACCAATAGAACTGTTTAAGCATCTAGACAAAATTATACAGCATGTCTAGTGTGACAAAAACTCAAATCACTTAATTGAGCCATTATTACTCTTAGAAGCAAGAGAGGAAGTGTTGACTTTTAAGTTAGTGGCTGATTTCACAAGGCACTTCTAATCAAATGCTGGTAACTAATCTGAACTAGTCTATAATCCAACAGTCAAAAAAAAAGGAATAGCCAAACAAAGCTTTATTACCACACAGTCAATACTCACTTCAACAAGAAATATTAGTTAGAAAAGAACACCGACCCTTTTTTGGTCCTAAAACTTTTTTTTTTTTTTTAAATTTGATTCTAATATTGATGATTCAGTTACACTGATATATCGGTAATCGCTGATCAGTCCTGGTCATTAACTGCTGCCAGTCTCACAGGAGGTGCGTTTGCTTTTATGCCCATTTTTATCTGAGGAGGAGTCATTAAATTACTCCATGACCATACCCAAATGCCTTCCCCTCCTGAAAAGTACTTTTAAAAAAATATATTTTCTTGGGTAAACATGCCACTTGGCTTTGGAATTTGAATTTTCAAAGCGTGGGAGGAATTTTAAGCACGCACCCATCCAGAAAGGACAGGTGCCAGAAGGGAAGTGTTTGTCACTCATGGTATATTCCTTCCAAAGTGCACTCCCTAAATGGAAGCTGCATTAACCTGGCACAAATTTCTGCATGCAGTCTGAAAAGTTTCAAATTCAAGTTTTCTTAACGTTTACAGAGCAGGAAATTTGTTCTGGATGAAGTCAACGTGTCATTGTCCTGCTCTTTAGACAGTGGAACTTAATGGAGAGCACAAAACATACAGAAAACCATTCCTAGGATGCAGGCAACTGGCAGGGAGAAAGGTGACAGGAAGACAGCAGTGCAACCAAGACTGCTTCACTGGGGAAGTACAATTTGAACCCTTTTTGATTTAGTAGTTGGTATTCAGATTCCCCTCACAGTTTTGGGAGTAGGGAGGAAGGTGAGTGGGACAAAAAAAGTTTGGGTTTTTTTTTTCCTCGGTTTTTTTTTTTTTTTTGTGTTTGTTTTGAACACATTTAACGAAACGTGGTCAGTTTGATCTGTTAAACTAAAATGGCAGACCAGCTTAAGTCGACACTGAGCTCTGACAATCAAGCCCAGGGAACCAGTGAAGGAACTTGTATGAACTTACAGCGCAAACCGTCAGCAGACTGGGAAGAGTTTTGAGGGTTACGGTAAATGTTCAAGAGGGCAATGGTCTGAAATACAAAACGCAACAACTTTATATTATGGAAAATAATTTTAACAAGAAACTGGTTTCCTTTAGGGTCGCTTTGGCCGAGTCTGTGCTGAAAGAGAGGTGGTTATTCTCTCCCAAGAAGGAGAACTTTCACTTAGCTGGTGACCTTTCTAAATCAACCTGACACTGTAAAGTAATAGAGATCTCATGACACTCCATTATTGTATTTTATTCCATTCACCGATATTACTACAGAGGGGTTTTGCATGAATTCAGACAGCTCTGTAACAGGTGGCATCCACACACCATTTACATTACAAGCAGAGTAATTCGAATTTGGTTTTACTGAACGGTTTCTTAGCAGGAAAGGAAGCAATACAATAATTACAGCATAACATGAAATCTCCATTTTCCTAAAAAAGTTACCTAAAAAAGTTAAGATGAAAGAAAACCCAGTTCTGGGAAACTTACCGTACATCACATATATGCCTAATTTTTTTTTATTTCTTTTTTGGTTGTTGTTGTTAAATCAAGAATTTGAGAAACGTCTGCAGTTTAACCCTTTAAAAAGAATGCAGCGTTACTGAGAAATCAAGCTTCACTTTGGAACACAAAAGGGAACCTGCATCAAGTCCAATTTATGCAGCCACTTATGCGCTTGGAATCGCACACGTTCCCCAAATTCTTGATCTGTGCGCAAGAAGAGTTCCATCACTTGTCCTGTTTGCAACAGCTTTATGTCAGCAGCTCAGGAGCCAACATTATTTTCTCATAATTAGGAGTGGGCTCTTTAACACCATTCTTTAAAAAAATTTCTCCAACTGTGGGACTTACAGTGTGAGCCGTCAGCCGTCTGTGCACTGTTTTGGGGGTTACGATAGATGTTTTGAATCAAGATGGTCTGCGGGGAAAAAAAATAAAAAGGGGAATTCTACTGGCTGCTGTGCATATAATAGACAATTGCAAAGAGACAACTTGTTTGCAAACAGCTAAAAGTCATATTTTATCCTTAAAGACTTCCTTTTGCATTTGCAGAGTAGCTTCCAAAATTGCATCCAGACCATCATATTATGAAAACAGCTTTAATTAACCACCAAGAAAGAGCTGCGTTTGTCTCGACAGCTATCCTCAAAATGGGAGGTGTGAGGCACAGTAACCTAAAGCGTCACATGAGGTGTTCTGGAGATGACTAAGCCCTCGAGACCAGATTCACTACTGCCAAGTCTAGGGGGGGAAAAAGTAGTGTTATGTGCACAGCAGGTAGTACATAATGCCACAGTCTCCAAAGTGCTACACCAGACAGTAAGGCCTTTAGGCAACAGCTACGTCTCGTTTTGTGCGTCAGGAATTTCTTGGTGGAATTTCTGTTTAAATAATATAATAGCACAGCATAGGTTCACATGTTTCCGATCCTTCAAATAAGGACAATATCCTTTTAGCCCTTCTGCTTTTTACTTGAAGAATTAGCCCAGGCAGACTTGAAACCTTACATTTGTACCGTTCTTCTTAAAATCAAGTTGTCTGAAAAAACAAACCATGTTTAAGTTAGTAAACTAATATTACAAAAAAATTCCAAACGTCCATATCACTGTAAGCAGCTCAAAAACTGAAATTTGATTACTTAAAATACAAGCTCAATGTTAGTCAGTATGAATGGCAATCCCCAAGTAATTTTAGCTTACACATTATTATTATTATTAGTCACAATAAGAATTCAGAGCTTAAAGGAGTCACAGGACCAGCAATGCCACACCTACACATGCTGCCCATTTAACACATTAAAAAAAAAAAAATAAAAAAAAATATCACATTTAAAATCACACACATTTTCTAATGGGTACAGTCATACCAACCAAAGCTTTGTGCTTCCATGGCCCAGGTTTAAACTACCCACGATTTAGCCTACAACTGGAGACCGCCAGAAACATGCATCTAGTTCTGGTGTTCCTGCTGACTGGGGGCAATTTGATCACCCTGGATTGCGTGACCTTTCCTAACACAGCTCTTCTGTGAAGTAGCTGCACCAGCAAGAGCTGCACAAGGGAAAAATGTTGGGCTGAAAACTTCCCATTAGTGAAGTCTCTGTTCTTCTGTTTTCTATCACAGCTGATTAACCACCTGCACACAAATAAAGATTTCTGTGCTGAGCCCTGCACAGTGCCAGGTACGGTGCTGTGCAGCCCCAGACATCCCCAGATGAATGGGACACGCCTGACCCGCTTCAGCTGGCACTGCTAAACAGAGTCTAAAGCAGAGCTTAAAGCTGCACTGACACAGGAAGCTGTACTTGCAAAGTTTTATTGTTAAAAAAGGATTTAGGGGTGGTGGGGGCTTTGTGTTAGGTTTTTGGTGGGTTTTTTTAACTTAAAAGGCAACTACTTGTCTGATTTAGAAATATATTCTAGTAGCCAGGTCTCTATATAACCAATCACATTTCAGCAGGTGCTCCATGTAGGTCAGCAACACAGATTAGTTTTGAAAATGGACAATATTATTTTTGAAATAAAGTATCTGCATTAAAAATAATTCAAATCCCAGAAGCAGGGAAGTGTTTTTGTAGCTGAAGTACCAGCAGCAGCCCCCATGGATAAGCAACCTTGACATTCCCCCCTGGAACATTCCCTGCCCACTCACAGTTTAACCTGAGGAGCACCACAGCTCTGAACTTGTCACATGGATAGTACCTGCCTCCCTAATTTCTCCCCAAACCAACATCAGCCCACCATTCTCACCAATTCTGCTCCAAGGTAGATGAGATGAACTTGCAGAAGATCTATTCTTATGTAAACTTTATCTTTGTAGACTGCTGATAAGGCAACAACTTTCAAAGGCACTACTTCTCAAGTGCAGTATTCCCAAAGAAATCTATTTATCTGTGTACCTTGACAATCAGCAGTGATAGACAGAGGGAAAACAAAGTTCTCCAAGAATGTAATTTGTGAAAACTATAGAGCTCACAGTAATAAAAACTTTGTCACTCACTGCACTTTTTAAAATTTGTTTTTATTTCTGGCAGATATGCAGTCACACATAATGTCTCTAACAATATTCACTTAGCCAAAAATTCAATAATCTGTCATGTCAAGTGACAATTCACCCTCAGCAACCAGGCAAGTTGTTTTTTAATAACCCATTTTTACAACATTCAAAGGAAGTATGCAAGTCACTCTTGAAACTTAAGAGCCTGGGTCAGAGAGCAAATGTAATGACAGGTGAGTGACTTCCATTCATCAATTAGTTTACTTCTATTATATGCATGAAAGATTAAAGTTCCCATCTTTGGGACAGGTGGAACTTGCTGCCATTGTCTGTGCTTTAAAAAAATCTGGGATGGTTTAAGTGCCTGAACACCACTGAGAAGGCACACTCACCTGAAAGTTAGCACTGGTTGGTCTCTACTACAGGCAAGCTTACAACAGCATCGCTTCCTGCAGCCATTAAGGGTGACAGGAGATAATTAGAAATGCTGGGAGAAGTAAATGGAATACCCCCAAAAAAGCAAAAGACCCAGATAAACCGGGGCCAAAAGTGAACTAGTTAATCTGGAGCTCGCTAATTGTTCACTCTTATCTAAGAATCTACATTTTAAAGAAGCCAGAATATACTTCCACGAGAAAGAGGAAAGAAAAGGGAAACAAACCTGGCTAAATGTTGGTTTGTTGTGCAATCGAGAACATCTGTCTCCATGGCGACAAGCTCCAATTTTGAAATAAAATGAACAGTTGACTCTGCAAGGGAAAAAAAAGAATAAAGTAGTTACATACTGGAACAGAAAGCATTAATATGCAAAAAAGCATATGCCCTAAATGTCTTTATCTTGATGTGGGGAAGTAACACAGAAAGGAAATCCACACCAAAACTGCACAGGGAAGTATTACAGCAAACCTGCCCACACTCTCTCCTTTTCCCCCTGACTTACAGGCAGAACCTGACTGATTTCACCCTGAGTGGTTTCATGATCCACCACTCAACAAGTGATCACTGTTTTACCCTTCTGGTTCTCCATCCTTGTCTCTACACCAGTTTCAGTGGGGGCTGGGACAGGAAGTGATGTGGAAAAACGGCCTGAAAATTTACACTGCACGAGCTCTGTGTGTGAGTTCATGCAGCCCCTGCTCCAGGCCATAAAACCTCCTTTAGAGCTGACACAGTTGCACCTCTCTCATGTTTGATAAACCACCTGTTTAAAGTTATACTCTAAGGGTAATTCAAGCTACTGCCAACACAGTGCTGGAAATAAAGTCAGGGAAGAGAAAAATCCTGTTAGAAAGAGAATACAAAGAAGCAAAATAAATTCATTTAATGAAGCCACTTCCATGAATATAGTCAATAATTTTAAGAGTAAGCTTTTTTTTTTTTTTTAAACCACAAGCTTTCCCTGAATGATCCATTTCATGGTTTAGAAATGCCAGTAAAACTCTCACAAAAAGGTGTAACTCACATGGAATGATGAAAGAAAACCATAAGGAGTTTAAGTTACCTTGACAGGGAATTGCAAAATTCTAAAGAGCAAGAAAGCTACTATGGGCTACATATGGGTAAGTGAAATATTAGAACTCTCCTGGAAGAAAGATCATCATTCCCATAGTTAACACTAATTATTTCCACACTCCTGTGTAACCAACATCAACTCAACGAGGGGAGAATTATTTAAGTACTAAAGCATATCTGATCTCTAGCAAAACATTCTACTGTAAATTTACAACATGTTTACTCTTCATTATGCTTTTGAAAACAAACACTTAGCATTATAATATACTTACTGTCTTTTCTGAACTCTAACCTGAAATAAAAAGAAACACCTAACTATAAAATTTCCAATAGTGCTTCCAACTTCAGCACCTTCTGGAAGGTTCCGTTTGCTTTTTCTAAACAGAAAATAGGAGCTGCACAGGAATTTCGTGCCTGATTAATACTGTGGAACTGTACTGCATTATATTCATATGTATCTCCTTTGTGAGAAAGGACGCTACAGTAACAGAGCTCAAGAGAGGCTGCCGATCTGCTTTCCCGGAATGGCAGCACTACAGAGCAGAGCAGAAGCCCCGTGGCCAGGGGCTGACAAGAGTAATTTAGTCCAGCAGCACATCGACGCCCCCTTTTCATTTTTACGAGTGGAAAAACACGCCGGTTTGGTCAGGCCGGTGGTGACCAAATTTTCGTTAGGAGGGTTTTGTGTGTGTGCTTCCAACAACCAGAGAAACTAGAGGCGTTCCCGGACGCGTGGAAGGCTGCAGGCAGAAGCCTGTAGGATCAGGATGCAGCAGTCGGGGAAATCCTCCGCACCCTGGGGAGGGGGGAGAAATAACCAGTCGCTGTCCTTGCAGCAGAGCGGGAGCTCTCGGGCTGCTGCGAGGCGCAGGGACACGAACAAAAGGGGAACAGGAGGAGGAGGAGGCGCTTTCTGGCAGGAGGCGGCGGGAAGCTCCGGCACCCAGCGGGCCCGGCAGGAAGGCGCAGCCGCGGGGGGAGGACGGGGGAGGGAAGGACGGGGGAGGGCGGTACCGCACCACGAGGCGCGGGCACACCCGCATGG